TTTTCAGTAGAGACAGGGTTTCACCATGTTGACCAGGCTGGTCTCCAACTGCTGACCTCAGATGATCCACCCACCTCAGCCTCCCGAAGTGCTGGGATTACAGGTGTGAGCCACCACACCTGGCCTGATAATATAATTTGTATTATTAAATATTTTGAGCAAAAACATAAAAATTTGATTTTTAATCTAAATGTAAAATTGATTTTATACTATAGTGACTCCCATAAATGGCATTCATGACATGGATTTTATGAAGAAAGGTTAGCTAGCTCCTTAGGCTGGCAACACTGTATCCTACTTAAAGCCACAGATAGTCTGTGTAATTTGACAGAATTTTCCTAGTATGACACAGTCAGAAACTCTACATGAAGTTTTCCTCTGAGGATCTAACAACATAATTAGAGGAAATGAAAATGAACAAGCAAAAAATAATACCTCTTCAAAGTAGAGTTGACCTCGTAGGAAATATGCCAGATGGTCCCCATTTCGTATTCTTTCCTTCAAGAGCTGCAATGCCTTATCCACCAAACTAGCATGGGTGTAATGATCTGATTTTAACAAGGGAAGGAATTTCATTAACCACACAATATAAATTTTCTCTCTTGAAGTAATAAATCATATAAAATCCATCTAACACGGTGGACATTCTTTCTTTCTAGTGCTCATTCCTACAACTGGTCTCCTTAGCTCAAGGACTCCTTCCTGAAAAAGGGCGTGATCACAGAACCTAATGCTGTGACTTGTATAATAAAGCAATATTGGCCGGGTGCGGTGGCTCACGCCTGCAATCCCAGCACTTTGGGAGGCCGAGGCGGGCGGGTCACCTGAGGTCGGGAGTCTGACCAGCCTGACCAACATGGAGAAACTCCGTCTCTACTAAAAATACAAAATTAGCAGGGCATGGTGGCGCGTGCCTGTAGTCCCAGCTACTCGGGAGGCTGAGGCAGGAGAATCGCTTGAACCCGGGAGGCGGAGGTAATGGTGAGCCGAGATCGCACCATTGCACTCCAGCCTGGGTGACAAAAGTGAAAGTCCATCTCAAAAAACAAACAAAAAGATATACTTGTTGATTGGATTCACACTAACCCGGCTCATGGCCAGGCAGGAGCCCTACCAGTGCAGAGCTAGGTGTGAGTCCATGCATTGGTTTGTCTTCAGTGGGCAAAGCTGCCTGGAGGAGTGAGTTAAATTCTTAATTTGAGCCTTAATGAGAGCCCCCCTAACCAAATTAGCAACCCATCCCTAAGATAATATTTTTAAGTTTATAGGGAAAATTAGGTATTTAAATAATAATTGCAAGTAAAGCATGGGATTGCTCTCTTTAACAGAAGTGACATCTGGCTTCTGTTTTCTAGAAGCATGTCTAAGTCCTGAGAGTAAAATCAAGGCCTAACTGTCTGTGAGACCACACTGATGATTTGCTACCAGATAAACGAGCAGTTTCACAGATTCTTGCAGGAAAACACAAAAGGACTGTTAACGATGAACCACTTCCTTGAAATCAGTGAAACACATTATTTCCTGTCTCATTTGTTCTTGCATACAAAGTGAACTTTTGGTGAAAGTATTTTCCAAGGGAAGCTTAAATTTCAGGATTTGTACCAGTCTTTTCCTTTTTCCACTGGAAGAATTTTTGTTTTTTAACAGCATTCTGAGATAGAGAGGCATAAAAGGGGTTCTTGGGCAACTTTTCACTGGTCAACTTCATCCTTTTTCCACAACGTGTATTCTGTGAGCAAGAATAAAAAATAAGATGGTAAGAAATTCCTTCCTCCAGCAAAGTGCAAAGAGAGACTCTAGGCCCCCACCAGCTGCTCATCACGATCACCTAGATAGAACACCGGCCACCAACTCTGGAGGATGTGACTATTCTTTCCTAGGACACCAAGACCCTCCCTAGCTGAGATACAGCCATTCTCCATGTCATTGTCCATGGCGTGCCATTAACAATGAGACCTGTTTGCATGTCCTGTCTGGCTATGGGTTTATTCATGAAGACAAGTCATGTCGCCCAGCACACGCGTTGCCACGTAGTGGGACCTGGTGACACTGCCAGACTCTACTGGTGTAGAGTTCTTCTACACCAGTACTTTCTGTGCCCTTGTAACTGACAGTCATCGGACGAATCCATTTCACCTGAAAGCATGTGTGTCTTTTACCTGGGAACACACCATATTTTAGCTGTGTTCAGTTTTATCTTCCTGTCTGTATTGGATTGCCATGTTATAAGATGGATCACAGTTGAGTGGTAAATCAGTGTCTTCATATAAAATGTAGAGGTCACCTCATTTGGGGTGAAGGAGTCCAGGTTGGCCCAGGCTGAGGGCAGAGAGACAGCAAACTCAGTTGTTGCTATGCTTCTGTGTTTACTCCTCAGCATTCCACTGTTACGGCTTCTTTCACCAATCAGAAACAAGCTTCCAGCAAAGCTTCCTGATTGGAGGTCAAGAGAAGAACTCGAGAGACCTTTAGTGTGAGTGGAAAGCTGCATTTTTACATAATTACATGATGCTATATTAGAAAATAAATTGCTTAAGTGAGAATGAAATGCAGAAAAAAGAAATATTCAGTATATTAGGGGAAAAAAATCACTGAACTGTTTTTGTCATTTTGGAAGAGTCACTTAATCTTTTTTTTTTTTTTTTTTTAGACAGAGTCCTGCTCTGTCACCAGGCTGAAGTGCAGTGGTGCCATCTCAGCTCACTGCAACCTCCGCCTCCTGGGTTCAAGTGATTCTTCCACCTCAGCCTCCCAAGTACCTGGGACCACAGGTGTGTGCCACCATGCCTGGCTAATTTTTTTGTATTTTTAGTAGAGACGGGGTTTCACCATGTTGGCCAGGATGGTCTCGATCTCTTGACCTCATGATCTGCCCACCTCAGGCTCCTAAAGTGCTTGGATTACAGGCGTGAGCCACCGCGCCCGGCCACAGCATTATCATTCTTGTACATGATGATTGGATCTCTGGATCCAAAGGAATCAGCTTAAAGACTGCATGATTTAATTAGCTCAGCAAAGTGGCAGAGTACAAAATAAGTGAACAAAGATGAGAAGCCTATCTTTCATAGCCAGTGAGAAGCTACATTTAGCAAGGAATGTTCATTCATAGTAACACAAAAATATAAAATATGTGGGAGTAACCTCAGAGAAGTATCTGTGACCTATATGTAGAAAACTATTAACATTTTTTAAATTAATTTTAAAAATCTAGGACTCAGCCAGAGACCCAGAAAGTGATGGGCAGAGAGGACAAGAGAAAAGGCTGGGCTCCAGCCTAACTTGATGCTCTTGAGGGCACGGGGCAGGTGGATTCCAGCCATTTCTGTGCTTTGGAAAAGCTGCTGATGGTGTTTTTGTCTTCGCGTGAGCGCCATCCTCACTAGTCCTGGCCCACACCTTTGGATATAGGAGACACGTACACCCCAGCATGACCCCTGGACCTTGGAGACTGCACCCTCCAGCAGTGCCTGGGACCCTTGTACACAGAGGGGTCAGTAGAAACGTAGTTGCTTGGGACTTACTGAAAGGACTAGCTAGTGGTGACGAGCTCAGGCAGCAGCACTGCAAAGGCCACTGAGCTAAGGACAGAGTCAATTGGATGCCCTGGAGACATGTATGTACATTATGTTTACTAACATATAAAAGGAAAGAAGGGAAGAAAAGATCCTACAGGTAAACACATCAAAACCATTATGTTGGATGGGCGAGGTGGCTCATGCCTGTCTTTAATCCCAGCACTTTCAGAGGCCAAGGTGGGTGGATCACCTGAGGTCAGGAGCTCAAGACCAGCCTGGGCAACATGGTGAAATCCCATCTCCACTAAAAATACAAAAATTACCTGGGCTAGAGGTACGTGCCTGTAATCCCGGCTACTTGGGAGGCTGAGGTGTGGCCAGTGTCACGTCGGGGTCACCACCTGAGATGTAGATCACCACCTGCGGAGGTCTGTCCTGCAGACCTTGACTCAACAATAGATGAATAAAATGCACTCACGCACACCAGAATACAGTGAATCTCAGTGGGCTAGGGATGGTCGTCAGCTGCTTTCAGAGGGTGACTGCAGCTAACTGACCACGTTTCCTTGTCCTCCTTGCATTTATTCAGTATAGATTTAACAGAGGTTCTAAGTCAACAGACTCGTGGATAGTTACCGTGATTAAAAGTGGTTTTACGAATGGTTCTGGAGGCCCGGAGTAAACACCTTCAACCAAGTGATTCCCCTTCAGCCTCCCCCTGGGAGGGCCATCCAGCACAAAGTTTACATGAGCAAACAAATTAGAGCAGACACAAAGGAATATGGCATAAACAGACTTACCTGGGGAAGCGTTTATTGTCCGTCTTTTACCCTATGACTCAGAGTTCTGACGTAATGGACTGGCTGCCTTCAGGCCATTCCATTAAAACCTCTGGGACTTCCAAAAGGTTCTAGACTATAATCTTCTAACTTTGCCTAATATTTTGCCAGCCACCTTGAGTGAATCACTGAGGCACGAGATGGGAGGTGAAGATGGCAGTGATCTGAGATTGTGCCCAGCACTGCGGCCTGGGCAACAGAGTGAGACTCAGTCTCAAAAACAAACATTCAAACAGAAACCACCGTGTTGAACTGTGGAATTATGTGCAGCTAGATAATGCTTTATTTGAAACCTCAGGAACACGTATGTTTTAGAATCCAGATGTGTTTGGATTTTGAAATGTCACACAATACCCAGATACCATCTAACACATTACACCATCATACTGCAGAACCACCTGAGCATGGCCTAGGATTGCACCCTTTTGCCATAATTGTATTTCTGCAGTAAAATGTAATGTTCACGTAAATGGAATAAACACTAAATATAGTCTCAGGTGTGTGCAGGAAAGATGAGCTTGCTGCCTTAAGAAGTATAAAAATACTTTGTTTCAGCCTTCCATGTATTTTTGAATTGCAGGGAAGAGCCTGTGGAGCTGTACATTTCTCTATTTCTCAAATTTTCTGTAGTAACATTGTGGTGAGGTTACAAATTTACTGACATTGCACACAGATGGACAGCCTTAAGCCTCCCTATTCCCCCCAAGGTCCTCACCCTACTGGATAACTGGTTCTTGCAGAAGTGGGCCGCCTCTTCACACCAGAGCTGGAGAAGCAGCCCCCAGCCCCGGGCCTTCTCAATGTCTGAATGTCTTGAAGGCTCTCTCCCGATTTGGGTTAGGAGGCGGGGTAGATTGAAGGCCTCTGGATCTGATTCCTGCCGCTCTCTGTAACTCCTTTTCCCCACTGTTCTGTGGATGTGGAAAGGCGATTGCTGAGGACAGGCCTAGGGGAGGCCCCTGTGGTATGCAGACTGCCCATTAAGTTAGTTGAATTTAAAGTTACATTAGTATTTTCAGGCCTGTGGCGCAGCTGTAAACCCAGATGATGGAGGATTTCATGGCATCTAAGGCAGGGATTCGAACTCAGAAATTAGTAAAGTGGCTTTTCACATCCCAGATGGTAGGCGAGTCTAAGGTAAGAGCAGCGCAGTGCTCTTCTGGTCTGATGGGAACAGGTTAGGCTGGTTTCATGAGAGACAAGGCTGTCCTGTCTACTGTACCAGCAACATCTCATCCTTATTCCCAATATTAATTAAACCTTTGATATTGCCATGTCCAGGGGTCGTATTTCTGCCTATCTACCAACTCAAGGAGATCTTGGGCTCCCAGATTTCCCTTTCCTTTTACTAGCCCTATTATCTATTTATCAATCTCTCAGTCATCTACCTACTTACCTACCTAACCTACCTGGCCTGCCTGCCTATCCAGCCTACCTGTCTATCTCGGACTTCCAGTAAACACAGGTTCAGTAAGAATGAACCTTAAGCTTTGCTTCCTCTACCTCATAGTGTTTTCACAGCAGTTGTAAAAAATGTTTCAAATTAAAAATTATACAGATAAATCATATTTCAATTATATATGTACATGCTTTTTCTGAAGGTATGCTATGTATTCATCTACTGTCTTTATATTCTTTAAATGAAGAAAATAGGTTGAACAATAAACATTTCCTTACAATAACTCGAATTTGTCAAAATCTGTTAACATCCTACTCAAATTAATCTTTGTTCCTAGGAGGTGAAAAAGTATAAAATGCTGATCTAACAGAATAATAATTAAGCAAGTGAATATCAATGTAATGTATGATGCTGATATAAGTTCTATTCAGAGTATATATCTAGTATTCTACATTTTCCAGGTACTTTAAATGATTTTCATTAAAACAACTGAGTTTCAGGCCGGGCACAGTGGCTCACACCTGTAATGCCAGCACTTTGGGACGCCAGGGTGGGTGGATCATGAGGTCAGGAGTTCAAGACCAACCTGCCCAAGATGGTGAAACCCCATCTCTACTAAAAATACAAAAATCAGCTGGGCATGCTGGCAGGCACCTGTAATCCCAGCTACTCGGGAGGCTGAGGCAGGGAACTGCTTGAACCCAGGAGGTGGAGGTTGCAGTGAGCCAAGATCGTGCCACTGCACTCCAGCCTGAGTGACAGAGCGAGACTCTGTCTCAAAATAAAAAAAAAAAAACTGAGTTTCAAACTTCTGAGTGTCTCAAATCATCTAGTAAATCATTTTTAGTTATCCAGTTTTATGCAAGTGCAATTGGTAATACAGATTTCTGATCTGACAGGCTTAGTATCTGTTCATCTACGGTCCTTATATTCTTTAAGTGAAAGAAACAGTCTGCATGGTAAGTACAGCAGTAGC